TCATATTCTACTTTACTTATTTTCACGATTTATTTCGCTATCATACCTACAAACAATTTATTACTATTTTCACGATAATTTGAATCACTCATACAAACGTGTTATTTTAGCGTTCAGGCAGTCATAGCATTAGTGCATGTTAATTTTTGTACGCTCATTAATTTGCTCATATTCACATGCTAACATTTTCATTTTTGTCCGAGCCTGTGCGATATTCATGTATTTTTGCATAAGCATGACATTTTCATATAATACACTCACCCCTCATGTGACACTACTGTACTTTATCGAGTGTTGTACAATTTTTTTTGGCTACTTATTGTTAACGTTAACTTCATATCACTTCAGTGTTATTTTCGAAAACATACATTTTTTAAATGTGCTATTTTCTACAAGGGGGCTATGTAGTGTCAGTTATTATGGCAAGCCCATATACCTTATTCTAACTTCCGGACATCCTATTTTATTCATTTTACTTGAGCCATATTTTGACCTTGTCAATTATTCGCTTGTCAGTCTTGACTGTTTTTTATATGAGCGTATATGATTGTACACTTCATGTCCCATGATTCATTGTATGTCTGTAGCTTATTTTGTCTGACTATAAATATGGAGTAACACTTGACTAAAATGGAGTTGGCTTCCCAGCCATCTTCCATACGTGTCATTTTTGCTTTGCTGTGCTTCATTGGCTTCATTCGCTTCATTCGCTTTATTCGCTTCATATTCGAAATATATGTGTTCTCAAGTCAATTCTCGTTATTCGACTTATTTAATTCCGTTATGGACTAACGCGATTTAAGTCGACGACGATATACGAGAATCAGCGATAACAATCATTCATACACTCTAAATGGAGTCAGATCAAACGAGCCACTTCATCGTATTTTGATTGGTGGATGAATCACGTGATTAAAAGCCGGACACAAAGTCATAACAGTAATGTTTACTAAATTAAATCATTTTATATTGATATACATTATTGACACTTCTGTAGTCGAATTGGGATTACCAATTGTAGCGTGGCGTCGAGTTGAGATTAACTATGAACACCGCTACCAAGAAACACGTGCCAGATAAATCAGAAGGCGTAAGTAGCTCGTTCCAAATGACTCCATAAAATCCCCGAGAAGCCAAATATCAGAAGACAGTTAATGGACCAAGTCGAGGTTTATTTGCTGGCGATCTCGTGGCATCGAAAGGATACCGAGATCGTGCCAGGATACAACCTTGGTTACAGAAGGTAACCGAATTCGCGCGAAGTTACAATTGAAGTGTAAGTATATGAATGGAAGCACAAAATAGCTGTCATTAGCACAGTCAAACAAAAGCACGTTAAAACAAACACTGGTACAGTTGGTTATAATAATAATTGTTTTTATTAAACCAGTCGTGTTCTCGTGATAAATGTGAGTCACTACACTTCAAACAGATGACATTTTGAATACTCAGTTTATTTAACTTTCAACATTTTCAACTATGTTTACTTCACTTCCTTATTGAGGCTATTATTGTTATAATTTAGAAATGTACACGAAACAATCAATATTTTATTACAAGAAATGTCGGTGATCTGATTTAATGATTACTTTATATTAAAGTATTCTAATTAATTATATTACCATCTAATATAGTGTTTAATGATGAACAGATTTTAGAATGTAGACATAATAACTGGTATTGAGAGAGACTATTTATACATATTGTGGTACGATTAAATATTTTAATGAGATAATGTAGTGAATACGAATATCAGTTGAGATGTAAAATCTGAGAACTATACAATAAATTCTTCATTTGCAAAATATCAATCAATTGTCTCAAACTTGATTATTTCTTTGTTTCCATATCAATCATTCTCTGTTCTCTTCCTCTTTTCTTTGATCTTCTTAACGTTCTGCGGCCAGGCATTTCATTTTCAATTGATGATACATACATTTGAATCTGGATTTGGTAGGACCCTTACCAGATTCAAATGGATACTCTTATCTCTTAACCTGCGTTGACCGTTTCACTTGATGGCTAGAAGCAGTACCTATCAAGGACATCACTGCTGAAACAGTGACCCGCGCCTCCGTCGAACGATGGGTAGCAAACTTCGGCTGCCCTTCAACCATCACTACAGACCGCGGACGTCAGTTTGAATCTGAACTTTTCCGTCGTCTGACCACACTTTTAGGAATCACTCGCTTCCGAACGACCGCCTACCACCCACAAGCAAACGGGTTGGTAGAACGTTTTCACCGACAACTAAAAGCTTCGCTATCAGCTGCAAACGTTTCACAGTGAACCGACGCTCTTCCACTCGTCTTACTAGGTATTCGCAATGCAGTGAAAGCTGACATTGGATACACTGCGGCCCAGCTCGTTTATGGAACGACACTTCGACTTTCAGGAGAATTCGTGGATCCTTCATCCTCTTCAATGAACATGGATCTAACCTCCTACACGAACAGGCTTACAAACGCAATGCGTTCAGTTAAACCTGCTTCCACTCGACCACAATCAACCGATGTTTTTGTTCAACCTGACTTACGATAAAGTACACACGTTTTCGTTCGTCGAGACTCGCATCGACGACCATTCGAATCAGCATACGAGGGACCTTTCAAAGTTCTTCAACGTGAATCTAGGTACTATATAGTCGATAAGAACGGAACAAATGATAGCATCAGCATCGATCGCTTAAAAGCAGCGTATTTAGAAGGAAATCCTATTCACGTCGATTTCCCTTCGGTATAATCGCACAACACGACTCCTACGCTTATAATACCCCAACCGACAGGCAACAAACGCGATGATACTTCAAAAGTATCTGAAAATAAACCTAAAACAACGCGTTCTGGAAGAAGAGTAAGATTTCCAGAACATTTAAGCGACTACTGCACGTAAGGCACTACTTTACATTTTATATTATCTCGATCTTTCTTTTTACGATTTATAATATTTAAAAAAAACAATTTTCATATGCTCATATATTTTTATTTAAAAAAACATTATAAAAATCCTTTTTAGAGATATTACGTGTATATGAGTTTATTTTCCTTTTTTTCGCCGACATTGTGTTTTTACGCACATACGAGTGTATTTCGATATGCATTTACATTTTCTTCTTTCTTTTCCAGGACGGCTGGAAAAGAACGATGCAGTTTACGAGGAGCCGAAATTTTTATTGTACTTTTTCTTTTTTAACTATGTTGTACCTCGGTCCGATGTAGTAAGGAAAGACGACCAGACGCTGTTAAATCTAGCAAGCTATCAGAAGATTGTTTGCCAACGACAAAACTCGTTGTGTTTAAACCTCTGGCTGGCCGCGTCTTAGGGTCATCACTACCCCACTAGGGGGGAGTGACCTGTAGCGGCAAATAAATCCCCAAAATAAATAGCTCTGTAAATTTTCGACATTGGATGCTGACCAGATTAGTTTTAGTAGACTCACCTAGCTAAAGGCGCTCGGTCATGCATCCGCACCAGATCACGTGTGAGAACGCCGTGCTCAACATCTACTGCAATCGCTAGCCAGACTAGATCAGACAATTCCGATATATTGGCAATCGTCAAATACAACTTCTGATCTCCTCAATTCTGTCTTTTGATTTCTCTTGGTGGGTACCAGTTATAATAGAAGGTGTTACTGGTAAAAGCGTTGTCAAACACTGAATACCTGTGCCATCTTCATTGGTGAGCCCGACGTGATCTGGCACACCAAATCGTGAACTGTGAGTCTGTTCCTTTTTGGGATTTTTTATATATTATTGAGATTGCAAAGGCCGCGTTCCTACAGTTGAAGAACATATGGAACTCAAAGCAACTCTCAACCAATATCAAAGTGAGAATCTTCAGTACGAACGTCAGGACAGTTCTGCTGTATGAGGCTGAAACTTGGAGAACTACTACAACCATCATCAAAAATGTCCAAGTATTTATAAACAGTTGTCTACGCAAGGTACTCAATGTCGATTGAATGTATACCGTCAGTAAGAAACTGCTATAGGAGTGAGCAAAACAACTTTCAGGTGAAGAGGGAATTAGGAGATTTCGGAAGTGGGTAAACCATACATTGCTGAAAACATCAAACTAAATAACGAGGGATCTCCTAACTTGGAATAGTGAAGGGAGACAGAAAAGAGAAGGACCAAAGAACACATAGAGTCGAGGATTGGAAACAGCTATTAAAAGGATGAATGCCAATTGGGAACAACTGTGGGGAATTTTCCAGGACGTTTTTACGGAGAATGCTAGTGGGTAGTCTATGCTCCTCCACGAGAGGCAACCAGCGTATGTCGTCAGAAGTTCGCATCTGAGACGTAAATACTATAATTGGTAAAGGTTTAGTGATTCGAGGCGCCAATCAAGTGTCTTGAATGTGAGTACCGAAACTGATTTCGTGTCCCACCTTTAGATGCGTTCCTGCGTAATCTTATCCGTTCGCAGTGAGGGAGGGGTCGAGTAAAACTACTGAAGAAAGTCTGTTTTTATTTACCAAACTTTTAAGTCGAGTCAGATCATCGTGAAGTGTCAGCTTAGAATCTTGGTTTTGAATTTATTTCTAAAGTTTAAGATCGTTCACAGAAAGTAATAACTCAGAAGATAATTGCTGAGGAAGATCGTTTGTATAAACTAAAGAGAGAAGAGGCTGTAGTGTTGAAGCAACGGAGAACTCACAAGACATGACGTAGCTTAGGGAAAAATGAAGTTTACCCTGACATGAAAAGCCGATTAATTGAATGTAAGTCAATCCACCAGTAGGATTAGTAAACAGATTATATACCATTTTCAACAACTTGGATACAGATTATGATGAACTAAATGTACGGTTCTTTCACTCAACAAAGTTGTATAAAAAGATTAGATGTTTGTGAAAAACAATAATCAAATACAGAGGTAAACCTTATCATTTTCCAAGAACTTTTAAAATAATACCTTGATAGTTCTCTCCACATAAAATCGACTCTTATTAATGCATGTGCGTCTTGTTTTGTTGTGTCATTTTGCTAAATGGCAGCGTTTTAGAGGTATCGGATTTTGATATATCGGTGGGTGGTTGTGGTCTGGTTTTGAAAGTAATAACGTAAGCGGGCTAGTTTTAGTCCTTACATAAGTTCTATGTCGATAAGGTTGTTATTAAATTCCAGAAATATGTACGATAAGGGATATTTACTTCAGAGTTGTTTCTTCAAATTCCACTCAAATCTCTGGCAAAAGATATATCTCAGTTTCTTTGTTGGCTTTGTGTCATGATTCTAATTTATAGTCTTTGCAGCGTTTTTAAACTGGTCACATTTTTTCGTTGCTATTTTCTGTATTTTGTATCTGCCAATGGTTTTCAATTTCTACCCAGCACCCCATCAATCAGTAATGGGACCTTTGAGATAATAAAAAGGGAAAGTCTATTTTCCACTTGGGAAGTAAATTTTGTCGATATATCCCGTTTTCACCCCCAAGTGGTAAACAATTTGAGTAGCGTCTCTGGATAGTGGAAATTTGTTGACAAACTGGCGAAATACGTCTCGCGCTTAAGAACTCTGTCTTGTAGGATTAAGGAAACATGACAATTCATTGTGTTAACTTACCGTTGATATTACTTAGTGAGTAATATCGGGACACCAACCGAGTGGTGTGCTGTCAATGGCTTATCTTCAATCATTAGAATAGGGCTTTAGTTCGTTAGATCACACGTCCCCCGTGATTTTTTCATTAAAGTCTTTTTGAAGACTGGCAAGATGGGTATTTATTTTTGTTTCTGTTTAAATGTTTGTGCGGATCTGTGTGGCAAGGCGCAACACCCGAGTCAATTAGTTAAAATTTCACGACCACTACAAATCTTACTAATTTCCTGTCACACTATTGTAGTACACGGTCTTGGGCTAACTTACGCTTACATCAGTCTCTACGTTGATTATGACTAACAAGAACTTTAGTAAGTATCCAGATGTGTCGTTTCTTGGTTTTGGCGGTTGTATTCGCTTCCCAAATATAATATTGAGCTAAAGTACACGGCGACACTCGTCGAGGTGATAAATATTAAAACGTCAGATGTCTCATAATAACCGATGAAGTGGTCGTTCATTCTCAATCCAGGAGATTAGATCGATAGTCAGATCACTCTAAGGAATAGTTCAACTGGCTCACAGTTACCCACTATTCCCGAACAATCTAAGCTAAAAGTTGACCTGTCCCCTATATCTCTGTGAAGTCAAAAAGGCTATAGGAAATCTTAACAATGGGAGAACAGCGGAACCTGATTAATTAGGCCCGAAAACACTCGAGGGTTGTGGTCCGGTCTTATAAGCTAAGTTCACTGGTACTGGCTAGAGTTCGACAGATAAATGTAATTCTATTTTTCTGGTTTCGACCGCTAATCACCTGTTTATGAGAAATGATGCATATCCTCTAGTGATAACCACAAAATAATCAGTTTGACTAATTGTTCGAAATATTAGCCTCGATAATCATCCGACGTCTAACCGGGGTTCGCAAAAAGCAGACCTCGGTAAACAAGGCTGGCTGGTTTTGAACCTGGTTGTGGCTATGAAACATGGTCTACAAAAGTAGAACACATGCCTAGGCTCAAAGTTTTCGTACATAAGTGTCTTCGAAGCATTTCTCACGTTACGTGTACTAACCGAGTGAGCAATGCTGGGATGAGTCCTAGAGTACTAGGTAAAGATGGTGGGCTGATTGAAGTAGCGAATCTTCGACTAATTGGGATATGTAGTACGTGTGTCCAACCACCGCCTTTCTCGAAGAGCATTGTTGTTTAGTGTAGGAGTGTGGTAGAAGGCTAGTGGTGGCCTAACGAAGACGAGACGTCAGTCCATTAGGTCACCGGCCGTTGAACTGAGCCTTGTTTAGGTAGGGGTAAACCTTCTGGTTGGGGTCCGTGTAATAGCTATAATCAGCGATTAGAGACTCGTGACACGGCTAAAAACTATTCACAACGATTCAGATTCACCCATTCTTGAGTTCCATTATTCCCTCATAAATATCTTTCTTTGTGCCTTTTCAAACCATATTCCCGATGTTTAGCGTTTCTCACTCAGTCAGTCTAGTCAGTAACAACGTAGAACTTCGTACGTACGTACATCAGTTCGAGTTGCCACACCACATTACCACAGTGATACAATTGTCGATTCAAATCCCGTAGTGGTAGAGGTAGTAAGAGTATAAGCAGTAATCGGGAAGATTAGGGTTTGGAGATGTTATTTAAAGAGTATAATCCAGTGAAATAAATTTGGGAAGAGAAAAAAAGACAAGGAGGGATAAGGAGACCGAAATTTGGGAGAACACAAAGAGTAGATGCACCTGCGCCATTGCAAACGATTTTGAACCATGTCATTCAGGGTCTCTAACCAGTTGTGTTCGAGTAGAGAGCCTTTATAAGGTTAATGTACTTCTTTGGTACTCCTTTCAGTGACAAACACTGCCATAGAACCTCATGATTAATAGAGTCGAATGCTGCCTTAAGGTCGAGAAATACTACCATTGTGGGGCGTCTGAATGTGTGTCTGTGTTCTAGAACCTGACGTAGTGTAAATATCTGATCTATACAACCACCTTCAGGTCGAAAACCAGCCTGGTTTTCTCTAATCTGCTCTTCACGAGCTTTGATTAGGCGTCGAAGTATTATTGAAGCTAATATTTTAGATGCTATATTAGTCAAACTGATTTCTCTATGATTATCACAAGAGGACTTTTGTCCTTTCTTATAGACTGGCACAATCAGTGACTCAGACCAGTCAGATGGGATTACGTCCAGTTCCCAAATTCTACCTAAGACCTCAGTTAATCTCATTGCTAATACTGGACCACCATCCTTAAAAATCTCAGGAGTAAACCTGTCAGGGCCTGTTGCTCTCCCTCGTTTCAGATTTCCTATGGCTTTTTCAACTTTGTAAAGAGTCGGAGGACCTGAATTAACTTGCCATTCAGGTTGACTGGAGATCGTGGGAAACCGAAGTGTGGCTGAAGGCCAGTTGAACTGATCCCTAAAGTGTTCTGCCCATCCATCCAATCTCCTGGATTGAGAATGTATAATATGTCCATCTTTCTCTGAGATTGTTTTTCACTATCATTGCTACTACGTTATTCCTATATCTTCTAAAATTCGTCTTATTTATTTCATTTTGTGCTAATGGGTTGTGACAAAAGCACTTACATATCAGACTCGACGTTGATGACGTATATCTATCAGTCGTCTGATTTGGTAATCGTGTACCACGTTATGCACGGTAGTATTTTCTGAGTCTATTCCCCAATCTAAGTATGCTTAAATTCATTATATGCAATGAATTATTAACCACATAAATCATACGTCTAAGCCCATTTTATTCCTGTGTAAGCGGCTTGTATCGCCTAGCGTGTAAACCAACCTAACATAGACGTATATTGATTGTAGTAAGTCTCATGGTTTATTATTTATTTTCCAGACAGGTCACTTTAGCAAGAGATCCCAGTCTGATAACCTTTTTAACCCGCCCATAAGTTTAGGTGGTTTGCATCTGACACCGTGAAGTATTTCATCCAGAAATTGGTAAGTAAAGGTTCTTAGAATGTGAATTTTAAAAACTAGGAACACTAAATAGGCATGTGTTTCAGTAGTCTGACCTATGACCTATCAGTTAAATGTAAAGGTTTCCCATAGGGACAATAAACCAAAATGACTTTCGCCACTGTGATTTCGAAAATATGTCTTGATTGAGATAAAGTTGATATTGTAAAGATTTTCACTGTATGATGTGGTTATCAATTGGTGATCTTGGTGCTCGGTCATCTAAGTCATTATTGGCCCAAATCATGACCAAGGCATTCATGTAGTTTGTCGTTAATAGCAGCAAGTGTAGGTTGCAACAAGCTATTTGAGTGTATTTATTCAGTCTTCAACATAAGCTTGTAGGTCCTTGGAAGAACTATGGCCACCTTTATGAAACATCCAAACTACTTACGGTTAATTGTATGTCGAGTTAAACTGTCGCACCACATCAGACTAAAGTGGGCGAAACAAGATTTTAACTTGCGAACCAATGGTTGAAAGTTAACTGCTTTAACGATTAAACTCTGCTTTATGACACCGAATTCCTCATACACAAACATTTTTGGTTGAAAACTGACAACCTACGAAGGTCGTCCATTTTCACAGGTTATATTTCTCAGGTGTATAGCAAAATGATACATACTACTCTCCGTTTGATGGACAGTCAGACTTATCTGTGTCAAATATGGTGCTAATTAATAAAAGACAAGCGAGATTTTCGTATGTGCCAAGATTTTGTCAGTAATTGAAGCACCAGGGATGATTAGACCTTCAAGATGATTATTTCACTCACAACAGTCAGACTGGGCATTGATACTGACCAATTTTAAAGTTTTTGTATATAGGAAAAAAGACTCCAAGGGTTATTACTTTGTTACTCAAGGTATTTAGTTGACTGCGTTCTTAGTATTGAACAGGGCTGCTGTCTCCATATACTAGGTCGATAAGAGAACCACCTGGTGAGAGATCATCGTACAATCTATTATGGTCGCAGTTAATTCTCATCTTAGTACATAGACAACATAAATTATGTCTACAATAATTTAGTTCTGAACGTTAAGGTATTTTTAATGGTCAAGTTATCCGTGTGAATTTACGTTTATCAGTGGTAAGTACAATGTTCCTTCATTCCGGTTGAGATCAAGATTAGTTTTGTCTAACATCTGATCATATTGTTTCTTCAAATTAATGGCTATGCTCTGCTCTTAAAACCTCGCAACCCATCGAAAAGTTCGTGTCCAAGTAAGCAACATAATGGTCCGTAATCATCAGGTTTAATGTAGACAACAAAATGTAACTGTTATATCCGAGTGAAGATTAATTTACGGGTAACTTCCGAGGTCAGTCAGTCAGTCAGTAACAACGTAGAACTTCGTACGTACGTACATCAGTTCGAGTTGCCACACCACATTAGCACAGTGATACAATTGTCGATTCAAATCCCGTAGTGGTAGAGGTAGTAAGAGTATAAGCAGTAATCGGGAAGATTAGGGTTTGGAGATGTTATTTAAAGAGTATAATCCAGTGAAATAAATTTGGAAAGAGGAAAAAAGGGACATGAAGAATTCAGAAGATTAGAATTTGAGAGAACACAGAGAGTGGATGCACCTGCGCCATTGCAAACGATTTTGAGCCGAGGACTATTAATGGACTAATATTCTTATTGTATAACTATTCAATAATTATTCTGTTAAGTCTAATGGTGTCTTTGGACTTTAAATGGACATTTCCTATTGGTCAATATTTATTTCACTTGTCAAATATTGTACAAATGTTGTTTTCTATTTTATGGTACGATGTGGTCTGCTTGATTGGTATATAAACAGAGTATGTTTGAAATACATGATTCGATTCATATTGCGGAAGCTGGTATTGTGTTTTGGACTCAAGTAGACGGGCTAGAAGGACATAGGACCAATAAGACGCTAGACTGTCCACACCGGTTGAACGTTATTGGTTGGCCTAGTGTGAAGATTCGTATAAGTCGTATTCGGATTGGTGGATAATTCGTGTGATAGAAAAGCCAGACACCGAAGGTCATAACAGTACCAGAAATTTATCCCAGTATATCATAGCCCTTTCCTCAAATGTTAACTAATCCATCCCTTAGCACTAAATTTTCAAACAGAATTTAAAGTATGTTTACTAGCTAACATAATTTTCATTGTTGATTTATTTTAATGTTTTGACTCGTTCTAGATATGGGATCTTCTGAAGCCAGCACACGTCGTCGAGTAAAGTTGTACATGTTGAATGATGAACGACAATGGGATGATAAGGGCACTGGTCACGTGTCAGCATTGTATACTGAGCAGGAGAACATGGCCCTAGTAGTAATTTCAGAGACAGATGGGTCTTATCTTCTTGAGTCAAAAATACAGCCAGATACAGCGTATCAAAAGCAGCAAGAAACACTAATTGTCTGGTCAGAAGGTGAAAATATGGATTTAGCTCTATCTTTCCAAGAAAAGGTTGGTTGTGATGATGTATGGGAAAAAATTTGTGCTGTACAGGGAAAGGATCCATCGGTAGAGATTACTCAAGAGGTTGTTGACGAGTCAGATGATGTTGATGACACAGATGGGTATACACCGACAATGATGCAAAGTATTCAACCTCTTAGTCTTCCACCTTGTGAACTGAGCCGTCTTGAAGAAGTTGTTGACCTAGTTAGTCAAGCTGTCGCATCACCTCCAAAACGCGAGCGATTGGTGGCCTTTTTAGAGTCAACTAATTATCTCCATCAGTTAGTCGATGTCTTTCACAAGGCAGAAGATCTGGAAGATATGGAATCGTTGCATCATCTTTACGAAATAATGCGACAACTTATATTAGTAAACAAACATAGCCTTTATGAAAGTTTATTCGCTGATGATATGCTGTTGGATGTGATTGGTATTTTGGAATACAATCCTTCTGGGCGCACTAAACATCGTGATTTTCTCAGAAATAAGGCTACTTTCAAAGAAGTTTTGCCTTTGCATAATACAGATTTAGTGACAAAAATACATCAAACATATCGCGTTCAGTACATACAAGACTGCTGTCTCCCACCTCCTTGTTTATTCGACGAACACACTCTTTCCCAACTTAAAGCATTTGTTTCTATAAACAAGATGGAAATTATTCGGGCTCTTCAAGAAGATGAAGAGTTTATGTGCCGGCTTTTTACACGTTTGAAAGCGGCGGATACAGACCTAACTCATCGCAGAGACCTATCGCTCTTTGTAAAGGAATTTTGTAATATTTCCATCCAAACAGATCAGAAAGAAAGTTTTCTCAGTTGTTTACTTCAACATGGAGCACTAAGAACAGCTGAAGTACTCCTCGCAATTGATGATCGAGATATAAAGTCAGCGGCTCTCGAGATTCTCCAGGCATTTATTGAGCACCAGCCCTCTGTTGTGCGTGAATATGTCTTCAGAGAAACTGCTCCGTTCCGAAAAGACGATGAATTACTCATTAATCTTATGATAAGTCAATTACTCACTGATCCAGATCCAGGTAGGTTTGTCTATAGATTAATATTCAAGACACTTTTTGTAGAACTTAGTGATGCTTTCCTTTTGGGTTACATGTTGCGCATTCTTATCGATCCAGACAATATGAACAATTCCGGTGTCGTAAGTCACTTTTTACCATGTATATTTATGCATGTATTTGATTAGGTCATCAAATTACTGTCTAGATTATAATTCCCAGTAGTCTAACCTATAAGATCTCATCTACTTTGGTTATCATTATTTTTCTTAGGTTCCATTAACCTATGGGTCCTGCTTGGGATACTCTTATTCTGTTTACCACTGGTCCTTAATCACTAAATTATTCCCTCATCTTAGTCGTTCATTTCGTTTATACTGTATTTTGACTGAGTGGTTACATCAGTAATTAAGTCATATAGTCGTATCTCATTAGGGTACATTGATTCAACAACACGAATCAGTATGTCACACCTCAATCAAGCAAGGTACACCACTGGTCGAGTTTAAGCTAGAAGTTAAATAAAATAAATATACTTTACTAGAAGCTTACTGCATCAGTATGAATAGTATTTTTGCCTGTTATTTCGCTTTTAACAAAGTTGTGTTTCTGACTCCTAGCCAATACCTTATTGTTCTGTTACATGCTGATACACAACTGAAAAAGTTGTCGACAGACTCATAGCTAGCAGATTGTAAGTTTTCTTACATTACGTAGTTTATGTCTTACAGGAAGTATCTTTGCAGGATAGCTTGATTTATAGTAAGTTATATAGTATAAGCATTGTGTGAAAAACACCTAAATTTCTTGCTTTTTTTCCACCTCGTTTTCATCTGACTTATAAAAGTGCTGTTCCTCGCAGACACATGGTACCCTAGTTTGCCATCTATATTAACTAGGGGTGATTTATTTATTTGAACACAAATATTGGTACGAGAGGGCACCAAATATATATGCGCCACACAAAACAATGAGAATTTGGAGAGAAGGAAAAGGCAAGGAGCGTAAAACAAAAGAGAACAATAACGAAGAGATTGATGTAAGGTAGTGTGGTAGTAATGAGGGAACGGAAAGGTACAATCGGAAGAAATCTTTCAGTTAAGGGAGACACAACTACTTTTTATGAAGAAAGTAAAAGAAGGTTACAGCAGGATCGCCACTGGCTTCTATTCTGAGCCATATCTGATAACGTCGTCTCTAGCCACTGTGTAGCACCATCCCTCAGACCCCAGCCAGGGAGTCGTGAAGAACCGACAGAAGCCAGTCCTTTGTAGCTTTCTTTCATACCACGACAACATGTCATACACTAACCACCTCTCCGCTTCTTCCAACCTATCCCAGAGTCAGCAAATAATGCACGACGTGGAATTCTCTGGGACGACATTCGTAGAACATGTCCAAGCCATCGAAGTCAATGTTTCAAGATGGTGACACCAATTAAATTATCGTCTCTGCACCCGAACACACGATGCCGAACCTCTGCATTACTGACATGGTTTTGCCACTGAATGTCAGCAATCCTTCGAAGACAACGATGATCGAACACAGAGAGTCGTCTAACATCCTCAACTCGGAGAGGCCAGGTTTCACAAGCATAGAGCAAAACTGCTCTCACCGACGCGTTGTAGATCCGATCTTTTACAGCCAGACTAACATCACGAAGGCGCCAAAGGTGGCCCAGATTGGCATAAACCGCTCTGGCTTTCACTATACGTGCATTGATCTCATCACTCACGCCACCATCAGCACTTATGCAGCTACCCAGATACACGAACTTCTCGACTACGTCTATCTGCTCACCATCCAGGTTGAGTACAGGATTGGAATCCTGCCAGTCTTGTAGAAGTACTTTGCACTTCGAAGGTGCAAAGCACATACCATACCTACGAACACCGATTGCCAACTGATTAAGTGCGGATTGCATGCCTTGGGCATTATCGCACAGTGAGACAATATCGTCCGCATACTCAAGATCGAGAAGTCTTTCTCCAGGCAACAGATCCACACCACCATTACTTACATCCATCAGAGCTGTTTCCAGAATGTCATCGATGGCAAAGTTGAATAGGAATGGTGAGATTGGGGCAACAATGCCTAACCCCACTACTCGAATGGAACAATAGAGAAAGGTGGCTGTATGCACTCACTCTGCCTGAGGTGTTTTTATATAGGGCTTTTAGGATGTTAATAAACTTCTCAGACACACCCTTCTTCAATAGATAATCCCAGAGAACAGTCCTGTCCAACGAATCGAAGGCAGCCCTGATGTCAAGAAACACCACGATTGTTGGCCTTTGATAAGTGTGACGGTGTTCTAAGATTTGGCGGAGGGTGAAGATATGATCAATACATCCTCGACCGGAACGAAACACAGCCTGCTCCTCGCGAGTCAATCTTTCTCGAGTTTTCAACAACCCACGAAGTATGATGGAAGCCAATAACTTGGACGCAATCGGAAGTAGACTTATCCCTCGATATTTGTTACAGGAACGACGTGAACCCTTTTTAAAGATAGGGACAACTATCAACTCATTCCATGACGTTGGTACACTCTCTAGTTCCCAGACTTTTGTGAACAACACATTCAGTTCCTTAGTTAGAAAGTCACCGGAGGTGAGTCATCTGGGCCAGGTGATTTGTAACGCTTTAAGAGTTGGAGTTCCTTGCGGACTTCCTCCTCATTTGGTGGATCAGTCGTCACCGGCCATGGAGGGCAGGACAGTTTGACCGATGTTGCCGGAGCAACAGGCCAGTTGAACTGCCCTTCAAAGAACTCTGCTCATCGTCCAAGACGTCGATGGATGTTAGTGATTGGTATCCCGTCATCCTCACAGATTGTTTCGTTCAAATCAGATTTCTTGCTGCCAGTGGCTCAGATGGCCCCCAAATGCCCTGGTATGGCCGAGGATGGGTCGGGCCCGCCCTCCCTCTCGAAATGCTGTCACACGGCCACGCGTATACCGCCTCTGTCGGGGAACTCCTACTCATTGCCTTCTCGTGGCGGGGGTGTTGTTTACGAAATTGAGAGTACGAAAGGCGAATGTCCGGCGCTTTAACCGGATTCCAAACCAATGGTGCACATGGGCTCCAGTATCCTGCGGGAACAAATGGCGTATGAACCAATCGTTGGTCACCGGCTACCATCTGACTTCATCTCTTTACGATGCTCTACTAGCTTGTGAATCAAACCTTTAGGTCAAAGGCTCGGGGAGTGGTCCCCTAAGAAAACCACCTGCTTCGGTTTGGGCACCCTGGCAGTATCATAGCCCTCACACATACCGAATGAGATTTGTGTGGCGCATATGTATTTGTTGCCTCCTTGTACCAATATCTATGTGTTAAGATAAATAAATAAATAAATAAATAAATAAAGTGGCTCAGATGAATTGGAAGAGCTTCCGGTAGTTACCAGATACAGCTTCTGCTTCCAGCTCATTAGCACGCTCCGACCACCAGACTTCTCGGTCCTTAAGCAAGCTTTGCCCGATTTCATTACGTAACAGCCTTCATTTGTGGTCAAACTCACGGTCACCCGGAGTAGATCGACGGGCTTCAGTGAGTTGTAAGGAACCAGAAGAAACCCAGTGCTTATAAGCAGGACGTTTCGCGAAGCCGCAAGCGCCTTTACTTGCCATTTCCATGGCGTCATGAGGTTGCAACCAATGCTCATCTATACTTTTCGGTAAAAATGGTAGCTAGCCTAGAAGCTAGCTCGGTTCGATACTTACTAGCAACAGAAGTTGCAACCAGCTTGCTAACATCAATCTTTTGGTGGTGGTCACTTCGTTGTCCACTAAAAAGGTAAGATTGGCGCAGACCAAGGCATGGTCAGAGTCCAGATAGGTACTCCAAAAGGAGTGGCAGTCTTGTACACAACCACGCCAGCGGTAGCTGATCGCGATGTGATCAATTTGAGTCCAGACTTGAGATGCAGAGGGAGGACTCCAGGTGGAACTTCGGCGACGACTGTGCCGAAAGTTAGTGCTAGTCAGAAACAGGTTGTGGTCTATGCACAGTTGCAGTAGACGGTCCCCGTCCCCGTTATTTATGCTTTTATGAATCCGGTGTCCATCTTGTTGTGTTAATGAGTTATGACAACTTGGACCGATTTATATATGTGCCTGGTCTTACGTTGTAGCTGACTGACTGATTGACAGTTGCAGTAGACGGTCCCCGTCCCTGTTATCTGTCCTGCGACCAACAAGTCCCCATCGGTCACCTAAACGACTCTCTTCTGTACCTAGACGCCCGACCTGAGCATTCAAGTCTCCGGCTAGTACTACAATATCTGTCGAACGCATTTTCTAGGGCAGAACAGTTAACTGGTGGTAGAATTCATCCTTGATTGCATCCGGGCTGCCATCTGTTGGGGCATAGGTGGAGATGACGAAAAGACATCGTTTCTCACGCCGATTTCTTCTCACTTTGATGGGACTTTCTGATCTAACAGCACATAACCGACCGTTAATGGGGATCCAATCGATTAGTGCTGCCTCAGCTCTAGCGCTTAGTGCGACAAGAAGGCGAGCAAGACCATACGAAGATGCCACAGCATCCCCGGATAAACGCACGTAAAACAAGCTTTTCAAAGCGACAGATGGAGAGCGAATTTGTAGTACTTCACCAGAGTCTTGAATACGGGTCTCAGATAGACAACAAATGTCGATATTAAGACTTTCCAAAGACATAGCCAGCCCTATTCGTTGTCCGACCTGCATAAATGTGCGAACGTTGAAGGCAGCCAGTTTGAATGGTGCACGTTGTTTCAGAAAAACTGCTTCAGTTTTCGTATTTGTTGGTAGCATGCAATTTTCAACCAGGCAGTGACTCGAGAACGTTTAGATAAAACCGAGTTTCCACCATAGGCGAGCTGCTGTATAAGTCGAAAACATAAGTATACATAGAGTAGGAATAAAAGAGGGTGAATAATGACGTAGTAAATAATAGTAATAGTAATAGTAATAGTAATAATAATAATAATAATAATAATAATAATAATAATAATAATAATAATAATGTGAATCGTTTGATTGTTAATCGAAGCAAGAAAAGTATTTCTATAATTATCGACAGTTCATCATATTTGTGTATGGGCTGTGATACTGCCCGAGTGCCCAGACCGAAGCAGGTGGTTTACTTAGGG